AGGAGCTTGACCTCCTCCTCCTCCTCCTGCTCCTCCTCCTGTGCCTGCTCCTGCTAGAGGTACTGGTCGAGCGTCTCCTCCTCTTTGCCTTCTTTTTCTTCTGTCTCCTTTTGCTGGATCTCCTCGACCTGGATCTGCTGGATGATGTAGATGCACTGCGCTTTGCCTTGCCCTTTGCCTTTTCCTTCTTCGAGCTCTTTGCCTCCTGCTGTGCCTGGTTGCTGTCCAGGGGCACAGATACAGCCTCCTCTTTTGCATCATCCTTGGGTGAAGAGGGTTGTGTGCTGTCTGCCTCTTCATTCTCTGCTGGAGATGTTGGAGTTGGAGCTGAGGCTGTTGCAGCAGGAGCTGTAGGTGATGCGGTGATCTCAACATCCACAGGAGGATGCGCAGAGCCACTGGCTTCACATGATCCTGTATTGCATGAACAGGCGTTGGAACTGGAGCTAGAGCTTCAGCAAGAGCATGTGCTAGAGATTCTGCTGAAACTTCATCATCCATAGGTCCAGGCTCAGCTGCAGGTTCAGGCTCAGCTGCTGCAGGTTCAGCTGGAAGTGAACCTGGAGGCTCAGCTGCTGCAGGTTCAGCTGGAGGTGAAGCGCCAGGCTCAGCTGCTGCAGGTTCAGCTGGAAGTGAACCTGGAGGCTCAGCTGCTGCAGGTCCAGGCTCAGCTGCAGGTGAAGCGCCAGGCTCAGCTGCTGCAGGTTCAGCTGGAAGTGAACCTGGAGGCTCAGCTGCTGCAGGTTCAGCTGGAAGTGAAGCGCCAGGCTCAGCTGCTGCAGGTTCAGGCATGACCAGGGGAGAACTAGGCTCAGGTGCTGCTGAAGGTTTTGCTCGAAGTGAAACAGCTGAAGGCTTAGCTGGAGCTGGAGGTTGTGGAGGAAAAGGCTCAGCCATAGGTACCTGAGATCAGGTATCAGACATAGAAATTCAATATTCATCTACTTGATATGTACATGTGCATTCAATATATAAATATAGCTTTCAATAAAGATAACATACACTTCTGATATAGCAATGAATGAGTCAGCACACATCACAAAAAAAACAAAAATGATCATAAGCATTGTTTCCTGGATGCCAAAACCGGACTTTTGGTTGGCACTGCCTTCGACAGACATCCAGGGAACAATGGCGCAGTTGCTCCTGATCCTGCATTTGCTCCTGGTCCAGGAGTTGCACCATCTCGCTTCTTTTTGGGCCAGGCTCTGCAAGCCACCAGTGGCTTTTGATACCTGGGAAGCTAGTTGATACACATCTGTACAGTACTTGGGCCAGCATGTTATAATACACAGACGTGAAAAGAAGAAAGCTTACTTGGAACAAGAAAGCAAAACCAAGTAGCCCAGTGCAAAGGTCTTCATTGAAAAGACCATTCAAAGCGCTGATTGCCCACACAAGGTCATCCTCCTGAGCTGTGGACTAAACAATTTGCTATCACATTCTTCTCTCACAACAAAAGCCAAAATGAAGTGATTGCATAGAAGTGATAGTCTTTCATTTGAATGGACACCCAAGTAACACATGTCATTGGATCCATATGACTTTCTTATTCACTCAATGAAAACTCAAGTAACATTGTTATGGAGGAGAACTCAAGTAACATTTCTGATTGTACCCATTCTGCATCAGCCAAGTGTCAGTCTGCAGGTCGCAGAACACTGTCTGATGCCTAGGGATCATCACCCTATCCATCTTGCAGCATTGGATGTCCAAAGGCATCAGGCCAATGCCCTCCAAGAAAGACCTGATGTCCCACTTGTTGACATTGAGGCGCACATTCCTGAGCATCAACCTTGGATACTCAGGATCCTGCACAGGCATGGCATCGGGGCACTTCATGGTTGAAGTGAAGAAACCCAAATGGTTTGTGGCAGCATTAGTTTGAAGCCTTTAGAGACTGTGTGAGACTGTGTGATGTCATGTTTCTTAAGCACTTAATGCTGAAGTCCTTGGAGTTGCTTGTGAGGTTACTTCTTGATGTTACTTCTTGGAGGCCTTTAGAAGCCCAACATCTTGAGATATCTATGGTGCTGGAAGATGTTGAGACATGTTGACCTTTGACCTTGCAGCCTGCATGAAAAGCCTTGAAACAGGGTATATAATGTCTTGATACATCCTTCTGTAAACATAAAACTGACCCTGTAAGGCTGCATAGACACTTTCACATCACATATTGACATGTTTGCTGTTGACAGTCATTCAAACATGCACTCAAAAAACTCAATCGCAACACAGTGTGAACAGAATGCAAAGATATAAGCCTATCAGTCTCAAGTAAGTTCTCTCAAGCAACATGTGGCCTACCAGTCTCACAGGTAAGATCTCAAGTAACAGGTGGCCTCTAGCTACAAACAGCAACAACCAACCAGTCTCACAAAAGTAAGATCACAAGTAACAGGTACACTTTAGCTACAATAACAGAAACCTACCATCTCTCAGGTATGATCACAAGTAACACAGATTGCCTTTCTCCTTTTTGGCATCCCATTGTGATGAAACACAATGGGTTCAAGACCCATCTTCCCAAAGCATACCCTAGTTTGGGTGAAGATCATCCCAAATCTTGCCAGCTTCCTCACTGGCCTTACATCTTCTTTTGATTCTCTCTTCTTTGGAGAGGCCACACTTCTTTGCCAATTGATCAGCCCTGTGCCAGTGTCGGCTCACACAGAGATTTCTGTAGGTATCCTCCATGGTCGGCATGTCAGCAATGACATAGTCTGGGCTCAATGGCGCATGCTTCTTCTGGGAAGTCTTGGCAGCAGCTGTTGACTGGAAAGTACGTTTTTTCTCCTCAGCTTTGCCACACTTATCCTTCTTCTGATTCTCCTTCTTCTGACTCTTCTTCTGGTCCTTGCCATTTTTCTTTTGGTTCTTCTTCTTCTTGTTCTTCTTCTGCTTGGATCCACTCTGCTTCTTCTTGCCTTCAACCTGAGTGGGCACAAAGCCCATAGCTCCTTCGATAATCTGAGCATCGGTCAAAACTTGGGCAGGCTTCCTTGCTTGCTCCATACATGAGTTCTTCTCCACGCATGACTTCTGGCCAGCCAAGATCTTCCCAAAAATGGCTGGGGTGTCTGAAAGCTGATCCAAAGCACTTGGAGAGAACTGCAATGACCTTCGAAGACATTGGTTGGATGCGGTCTGAGCAGGCACCAAAGACCTTGCAGGTGTTTCCACCTCAGGTGCAGGAAGTGCAAGCACAGGCGGGGAGCTAGTCCTCACAGGTGGAGAGACAGTGGGCTTGTCTTCATCTCCCTCAATTGAATCATCCAAGAGAATCTTGTCCAAGCACATTTGGATTTGGGCCTGCTCATCACAGGTAAGAACTCGAAAAACACGGCTTCGAACAGTTGCTGACTTTTTCAGCTCTCTGAACATGTTCAAGCCAATCCTCAGCTTCAGATCTATTTGGTCCATGGCATCATCCTTCTGGCCAAGGTATTGAGGCAAGGTCAGATTCCTCTGGTCATGCAAGGCAACCAAGGCCTTCTTCACACGTGCTGCCAAAAGTTTCGTATTTTTGGCAAAATCAAAGATGTCAAAGGCAAGGCCACTGAGTTTGACAACCCACTCTGGGTTCACTGGTGACTGCCAGGTGACATTGATCACACCCTGGGGTGGGCAAATTAGACGCCACAAATCATCGCATTTGTGATGCTTCATGAAAGCATCCAGGGTGTTGCAAATATCATTCACTGAAATTGATGGATCAGCTATATTTCTTCTCCTTTCCTTGGCTGCCTCAGCCTTTTGCTCGTGGACCAATTTCTTCCTCATCTCCAGCGCAGCTGCAAGAGTAGCCATGTGCCAAACTACACAGAAACTTAAACTGGTCAACTATATACAAGCTACAGGATCCCAAATGACTGCAATGAACAGAGTCTCATGTAACAGAGTCTCAAAAGCTACAGGCTCCCAAATGACTGCAATGAAC